ATTCTGGAGATGTGTTTCCACTAAGAATATTGCCTAGCCTATGTGTCCATCTAAAGTGACCAAAATGTGCCCCGAGTCTATGTCGCAAGGCGGAGCCACGTAACGCCGCAGGTTCCCCTCAAGGGATGCGGAAGTACGGGTTCTCGACTGTCTCCCTGAGACTGTCCTTCAGCGGCTTCCACCCGTCTTGGCTGGCCCACTTCTTCAGGATGGCGATGGATTTAGACTGGTCGGTGAGGGCCGGGAAGAAGTAAGGGTCGGGATAGTCGGCAGGGAACTCCCGGTGAGGGCGGATCTCGCGCAAGACGGCAAAAAATTCGTTCCAGTTGCTGCTGTGGCCCCAAGTCTGCAGACGGGCGTTCTTGATCTCCGGATCCAGAATCGCCGCAACGTGAATGGCCGCGACGTCCTCGACATCGACGAAGAACACTAAATGACGTGTGAGTACGAGTCCGCAGCCCGGAATGACGGAGGTGCTTACTCGATGGATACGGATCCAGCGCGGCTTTGTCATTCCTGAAAAGGGCGGCCACCCAGTGTCCGGGCTTCTCAACGTGCTTCACGTGGAAAGGCGCGCCAATGACACCCGCGGGGCTGACGACGTTGACTGTGAAAGGCGGCTTCTTCTCTTCAACAAACGCCCAGACTGCCTTTTCCGCAGCAGTCTTGCTGGCCGCGTACGTGATCATGGCGCGGGACGGCTCGTAGGGAGGGGGAGCCCAGGCGGCTTCCAAGATGGCCTCGTTCCACGTGTTTCTGTCGACAAAGGTTTCCTGCCCACGCACAGGAACGATGGCAGCCACGATGGAGCTGGTATAAACAACTACCTTGACTGAGTGCTCTTTGGTGGCGGCGGTGAGGATCGATGTTGCGCCAGCGACGCTCTGAGGAATGACGGCGTTGGGATCTGGGTTGAAGTCAAGGGGACTGGCAACGTGGGCAATAGCCGAAACACCCTTGACGGCCTCGTCAAAGGTGCCATCGGCTGCGAGGTCGGCTACGGCGACGACTTCGAAGCTGCCGCTCTCTGCATACGACTTGAAGGTATCTTGGACAAGCCAAGATGCCTGGTTGAGGTCGCGAACAGTGCCCCGGACTCTGTAACCGCGCTGCAGAAATTGATTGACGACATGACCCGCGACGAAACCCGTGGCTCCGGTCACGAGCACCCATGCACCATCCGGGATGGTTGTAGTGGGTGAAGACATGGCGATGGCGATCTTGGGAGAAACGGAAGAAAGTGAAGGTTGGCAGGACAGTGATGATGATGCTTTGGTCCGTAGCTTTGATGACTTCCGAAAGACGACATGATAGTGATGGGATAAGGGGTTTTATATTTTGTCGAAAGCGAGCGTGATAGATCTTTCATTGAAAGCCGAGAGAGATGGTGGAACGGAATGGTGTCATTGGCCTCCTTCGGGTCATGCTCAAGGGATGGGACCAGAGGTGTACATGTAGGAGGTTAGTGATATCGCTCAGTTAGGAAATACCAAAGCTTGGCATGACCTACCCACGGCTTCCGGATCGCTTCTCGTGATCTTGCGCCATAGTAAAGTCCCGCCGCAAGAACCGATGGACATGATTCTCCGGTGCAATTCTCCGGTCGGCGTATTGGCGCACTAAACCTCTTTGGCGGCGATTCTATCCACTTGCTCATGCCGCAAAACATCCACGAGTGGAAAGGCATGTTTCCAGTACAAACGTTCCAGCATTTCCGAAAGGCCGAGAGAAGTTGGGCCACCACTGACTTCAACCATGGAGACCACGCCCTGACAGTGTTGTATGGCCGTCTTTGTGTCTCCAAAGCTCATCTAGATTATTAATTAGCTACTAGAATATGTGCAATCTTTTGACGCCGCTCACTTCATCCAAGGCCAGTGCAAGACCTGTGGCGACTGTCACCCGTCGAATAGGCCCGTTGAGCGCATGTCGCAAATTTTCGAGACCTTTCTGTTTATACTGAAGAGCCATTTTCTTCAGCGAGTTGTCTTCTGGTTTGCCACGTAATATGTTTTGACACGCACAGAGGAGGATAGCCGTGTCTAGGAAGTTCTTGTCCGCGATGGCAAGCCCAACCCAATCTCGGAGGATGCGGAGGCCGTGATCTCCCTCAAAATTGAAAAGACTACAGTTGACAGCCATATAGGGCACCATAACGCTGAAGTCTGTTCAAGAAAAAGGTCAGCATGGCTGGTCAGCTGTGCGAATTTCCCATCAAGGGGGTTCAGCTCGTACAGTGACGCAGCAGACCATACTCCGCAGGCGCCAAGGAGCTCGCTAAAGATGTGAAGAGACCGCCCTTGTGGTAATTTGGTGTGCTGTTCAGAGGAACGAGAGCTGTCCTGAACGCCTGGTGGTCCTCCTCCTGAGCCAGTTTCAATCCTTTCTGATGCTTCTGCACCCTCAACCGCCGTTTCTTGGCATGCGCTTGACGAGTGGCATGTGAGTGGCATAACTTTCGCGACTCGGACGACATGGGTCTCGTAGGCCCAGAAACAGGGACAAACTGTATTTGTGACTGCATTTTCGAGAGCTTATTCGCAGTCGTGAGATTCTCCGAGAGGCTCCTTCGTTGCTGGCATGGAATACCGGTTGATCAAAAAGGAGGAAAAGAGTGGGAGACAACACACTTGTCAGCTGAAATGGACTTCAGGTACCTCCTACGTCCTATTTTAGCTAGTTCCACCGCGCACAAGTCCACTCCGCTGCCAAGACTTGCAACTACCAGTTTGGGAAGTAGGTATCCACCTTTGGGCTCGACCATGTGGTAAACAATGTGAGTGAGGCATCGGGGCTTTTATTATGGTGCTCACCCGGAGAAATGGGGAATTTTCTCATCCATTGTCTACAGGAATACTGGGGAATCGACTGATCCTTTAGCTGTGCATCAGAGCCACCTTCTTCTCAAGTGGCAGGTCTTGGTCGTTGTCATGCTGTTAGTTTCTCCTACGCAGCATGATTTTGGCTGTGAAGGTCACACGAGTCTCGATATTTATGCAATCCCCGTTCGGTGAAGCAACTCCTTATCAATTTGAACATGGGTGGGCTCATTTTACATCGTATTGTTTACGTCAAATACTTCTCCTCAAACCTCAATAGTAATTGCGGTCCACGCTTCAGGGTGGCTGGCACAACAACATGCAGCCGTGGATGACGCCAGGTTCTAAAGTGCTCGACAAGGAGCTTAGATATTCATGTC